TAGACAAAAAAAAAAGTTAAGATAAAACTTTTTCTTTTTAAAAAATATAAGAAAAAAGGTTTATAAGTTGAAAAATGTGTTAAAAAAGTAAAGATTAAAAATATCAATTTTACTTTTCTTTTATTATAATATTAATATATATAAATATATAAATATATAAATAATTTTATAAAGAAAAAAAATTTAAAAATTTTAGGTCTTCCGATTGAACACCAAAAGGGAATGGTATGGTTCTTCATGTCCCCAACCTCTTGTTGACATTCCTTATGGTATATTTAGGTTTTAGGAAATGGAAGAGAGGATTCACCTCTCATCCCTTCCTCTCATTTACTTAAATAAATAAGTAAATAAATAAAATCTTATTTTATAATTTAAATTGTATCAAATTATAAAATATAAATCATTAAATAGAAAATGACACAATGTTAGGAGGTTTACCTCATTTAATAATTAGTGTAATATAATTTGGTACAACTAAACTATACTACACTTTTTTGATAAATTAAAAGAAAAAAATAAAACAAAAGACCTTCTTTCCCTTCTCTCCCCTCCAACTCCAATTATTTTCATAACTAAAAAGAGAATTTTTTCCCTTCCCCTCCCCTGTCTTCTCTCTATTTCTTTTAACTGAGAATGTATACTTTTTATTATTTGGAATAGAAGAAAACTTAAATATTTTTTTTGGACAAAGATAATTTTGACAAATATTTCTACAATTCTAAGAGGGATGGGGAAGGGAATCCTTGAGGAATCGAATATAAAATGTGGAGTGATATTCCCACTAACAATCTATATATATATTTTTTATTTTGGTTGCACAATAAAAAATAGTTATATTTTATTTTTTATTTCATTCTACTCATATATTATATAATATGAACTTAGGATTTTTTACTTTTAGTAAAAAGATATTATTATTAAATTATTTAAGTAATTAAATACTAATAGAATATTTGATTTAAAGGGAACGAGGGAGGAAAAGAGAAAAAAAATTCTTTGTTTGATTATTAAAAAAATCGAAAGAGATGAAAGGAAAATATTTTTCTTTATTTTTTTCTTTTAATTTAGTTATTTATTAAAAAAATAAAAAAAAATAAAGAGATATAACTGTCTCCTCTATTCAATCCAAACACAATAAAAAACAAGTGACCAACTACTTACCCAGGCGTGCAGAACAAACTTAGAAGACCTTAATTCTTAGGTACCCTTATCTACTAATATCAAAATCACAGCCATTAATATCAAAATCACGGCACATAACTTGTGTTAAAAGGTACAGATTAAAAAACCCCTTCTAAATTTTAAAAGACGAAATAAAAGTAAAGGCCTAATGATTAATTGGGACAAAATTACCTTCGGGGGAAAATAAGCAGTGGTAGTCGTTCTCGACGGTGTGAAACGGACAGCGTTATTATGATCCCCGTGTTACCGTTATGAATATCTCACGTGAAATGCGCGGAGCGGGGGAGGGGTGATGCGAGCGTTTACTAGATAAAGTGTCAGTCAAAATGTCTTTTACTAATTCATTCATCAGATAAGAGTTTCCAATTTATTTATGGCTTTTTAAACATATTAA